TCCGAATAATTTGACTAGATCCCCCCCGTGATTCTTTACAAGTTAAAAAACTTTCATCCGTTTTTTGAAGTTTGAAGTCCGCCTCTTGAAATGACACAAGGAATATGACTTTAATCATAAATGGATCAAGACACTAATAATCATAGCAAGGACTGTTTTTAGTGGCAAAGTAAACTACGTTTTCTCCTCTCTTGGCTAACAGAAGTAAACTACACTTGGTACAGATGAATGTTAGATATAAAACGAAAACTAAATGATGATAATAATAATAATATAACAACAACAACATCAATATTCTTGTTGTTAAATGTTCTCAGCCTATGTTCTTTCCTTTTTCTTGGTCATTAAGAAAATTCCACAAACAACGTGACATATAGTTTGAAGCGATTCTAAACTACTTAACGTTTAATTTGAGGATATGGAGGAGGATTAAAAGCCTAAAATTAATTATGAGAGGTTTTAGAGTTGTGGGTAAGTTCAAGGATCCTCTAGAGTTTTTATTGTCGGGAGGAGCTGGGGGGATTCGTGTATAGTTCGAAAAGAGAATGTGTACGAGATGAATTCACTTCCTATTTCTACTCCCACATTATGTTCTATTTTTCTCTTCAACCACTTCCAGAACTCTAAAGGCTTAAAACTCATTATCTAATTAGCAATCTTCTAGAGTTGTTAATTATGAAGTTGTTGTTCCATTCGGAAGAGAAAGATATACACAGAATGCAGTAATGTACAACAGGGAGCATATCTTGTTGCCAAAAGTGGAACCAGCACCCTTTAACCCTGGCTTTCTTAAAATTTACAGGACAATATAATGGTGAAGCTGTTAATTTTTTTAAGTCCTACCAAACACAACAGCATAGATACGCACCAAATCTTGTTTGTGGATATAAATGTCGAAGACAACCAGATGCGTACAAGCAGGAAAGACAGGGCGTCCGTACGTTTAAGTTCATGGTGGAGACAAAAATAAGAGATGAACATTATACTTTTCGTATTTCAGCTTTCGAATTAGCAATTAACGAAGACGACAAAACAAGATAACCTTATCTATGTCCGTGGTTGTCAAAACTGCTTCACAACTCACAAGGTCTAGCAAGTTTTATGCCAATAATATTGTCGAAGCTAATTAATATGGTATCAGACAGTAAGAAGTGCATCTGTTTCCCGTTACCATTCCTGTGGTTACTCCTTGTTCTTCACATGCAAAAAGACAGGATTAAAAAAAATCCATGACTTTATGGAGGATAATGAAGAGGAAGGAAAAAATAACATTTTTTATTATTATGGAGGATAATGGAAGGGACGAAAAAATTTTGTATTGTGGTAAATTTGCGGTATTTGAAGGTATTAAAATTACAAAAAAAAAAGAGAGAATTTTTTAACTAGATTGTTTCTTTTTCTTCATTTCCATTTCTTTCTTTGTCTTTCTGACAAGCTAACTCTCAATCCAGCCTACTATGCACCATGTATTTATTCAACTGGGGGGTTAGGACTAAAAAATATGAAGTTTTTACCAAGGGAATTAGGGCTGATAATTTAAATACGAGGAGTGGACGGATTCATAATTTTCAGTTTTTCACAAGCAATAACTTGTAAATTTTTGTAGATATTAAAAACACAAAGACTTTGTTTTAAGTAATTTTATTATCTTAGTTAGACGTACAGCAAAGTCCCAATAATTCAACAATGTCAAAAGTTCACATTAGTATTGATTGTAAGGAAGACCTTGTGAAGACATTAATGCCAATCGAGACTTCAGGTTATTGAGATGTCATGGAAGGATCATGGCCTCCATTTACAATTAAAAATAAATGACTTCTCAAAAATTGGCCTTATCACCAAATATAGAAAAGAGCCAATATAAATAATGAAAGATCACTCATGACTTGAAATAAAGTTCATATTATTTGTAAATTTAAGAAATGTCACTTGTGAATCAATATAAAGTCAATTATGACCGAACAATGACAATTACTTGTGAATTTATGAAAAATCAATTGGATTGTCCTTCAGTTTATAAATGATGATGCATATATTTAAAAGAGATTATATATCAATTCATAACTAACTAACTAACTTTTCATAGATTTACAAGTGACTTTTACGAAACTATCTATTCATTTAGAGCTGACTTCTTATAAATTCACAAATGACTTTCTATTGCTTCACACAAGTGATTGTTTTTAAATTTATTAGCGACGATGCATAAATTCGTGAGAATATTGATCCATTTATAAATAACATCTCATTGACTCAGGTGACATTCCTTAAATTCATGAGTAACCTTCCATTGATTATTTTTCACATTTGGTTTTGTCAAGTTATTTGTTTTTAATTACAACTAAAGACCATGATACTTCCATACATGGTATTTCAATAATTAGATATATATATTCATTAATTTCATTCATTAATACCTTCACATATGCTGCAATTGTCATTTCCCCTTGATTATAATTGAATTTCTTAAAGAACAAAATTTCGCTTATTATCTTCATGCATTTAACTGCCAGCCTCATAAAGTTATTGCTCCGTTACAATGTTGTTGCTCATGTCTTGATTTTGTTTTCATTATTGCTCCATAAGCTACTACACCCAGTTCTTAATATAAGAGCTAGTTGACTAATTCAAATAGATTAAAAAAATAAATTAAGTTAGTTATTTGCAATAAATAGGTATTTTTTTTCCTCTAAAATATCTTTTCTAATTATATATATTAGTTAAACCTACTATTTGATAAAACATTTAACACGTGCAATTACTATAAAAACCACTTAAAAATAGATAAATATAAAATATAAAATAAATTGAGATATTATATTTAAGATCAAATTAAATATCAGATTAGTTTTTATAATAAAGACTAGAAGTAGTATGTCAAGGGCAGCCTCATCTGCTTCATGGTCGGCTATATTTTGGCTCTTAGAATGTGTCTTGAAATGTTTTGATATCTCTTTTTATTTTTATTTTTTTGCCCAAGATATCATCTTTTTATTTTATTGGTTACTCATGAACACAGTAGCAATTACTACTTGCATATTTTCCCCTTCGATTATAATAATTATTGTACGTGATTATAATCAAAGGATAGACCAAATGATTTGAATGCTGAATGATAATTTTCTACTTGATTATGGTTCACCAGTCCAAAGAAAAGAACGTTTTCAGTTTAGTTAAGAAGAGCACTAATATCAACTACGTGCTTTGTACTGAGCAATTTAATCAACGATTACATTTTTAAAGAATGATTTATTATCATCAAAATTTAACATGAAAACCTTGAGGTTATAGCAATATGGCAAAAGAACAAATGATCCATTTACGTGCAGGGAGAAGCTTTTTGCATCAGAACGCAATATCCATCAAAAGCAGAAGATGTGGGCATAGCTTGCTGCAAGGTTCGAGTTAAAGAAGGAATAACTTTAACTGCAAAAGAGCAGAGAAATCGGACTCGCAACAGAAAATTCACAGGGCCTTATATAATATCTGTGTTAAAAGAATGGCATACTTGTGCAAAGTGGAAGGAAGCTGGCCTAAGAGAAGGCTGGCCACAGGCCCCACTAAAGAAGAAGGAAATAAAAAGAAAAGGCAAAATTCAGCTTTATGGGGAATAAGGATGAGGTTGCATGATTGAAATATTTGAACTGAATAAAACACTCTAGCTCCCTCTTGTCTCTTCTCCGATTAAATTTAGGAACAATCTTTTGTTATGTGCATTACACTTGATTATCTATTGAATTTCCGGGGTTGATGATTTGCTTTCCACGGAGATAAAGAAGAAAAGGCAAGTGAGGAGAGAGAGACTAGAGAGAGAGAGAAAGGGGCAAAGAGACACGAGTGTGACAGGTCTTTAGATCGACTGGAGTTAGCGGTGGAAGGAGGGGAAAGTGGAGGAGGTGGTGGAAATAATTATAATAATAAAAATAAGAGGGATTGAGAGCGAGAGAGAGGTGCTTAAAATAATGCGCGAAGCACATTCACTTTCCTCTTTGTCATCACTTTCTATAGCATGATTAGAAAAAAGTTGATCAATCTTCTCCCTCTTCTCTCACACTAAAGCCATTCCCATCCATCCTTCGTCCTTTCCCCGCCCATAACATGTCATGTCCATGAATAATTATTTACATTTATTTTCCGTATTTTCGTTTCAACTCAGACCAATAGGTATACTGTTTATCACTTGAGCGATGTGATTTGAGTAAAAGTTGTGAACATGAAAAAGGAGGCTTAGTTTCAAACTGCATTTTTTTGGCTCTGGACCCTTAATTTTGTCCAGCGCATCGCTTGAACACAGAATATGCAAACGCAATGCAAGCGTCACGCTCACGCTATATTAAATAGTACACATACTACAAATATGGAACTTGATTCGAATTCGCAGGCTGAAATGATCTTGACAGGCCCTCTCGAGTTCATGAGAATGGGCTTGCAATCTCCGAAACCGGAGACGAAATCACAAAGCCCACTTCAACGAATGAGCCTTATCCGCAATCTCGATCGGGATAATTTGGAATATAGGATTTGCAGTCAACGGTCCCAGTGAGTTCTTGTGAGTTCTACGGTCACGATCTAAGCACTTCTATGTAAATTTCGATGCCTTACCCACTTCATTCGCCACATGACAAGCCTCTTTTGCCGATTTCCAAGAAACAGCTGCCATTATTTTCCATGTGTTATGTTATCTCTGTTAGATATTAGCCGAGAGAGAACTCTCTATCACACGATGTCACATGCGAATAAATCACTACTACACAATTTTGATTTCCTGCAATAAGAAAACGACATGCAATTGATATCCAAGCAAGTCGCTACGGTTAACCACACACTTTCAGCTTTAAGATGGCCATGCTTGGTTGCTTCTTAAAAAGTTGAGAGGAAATTTTCTTATATACATTCGTAACAATTATGGTTCAATTATTTGTATATTCTTCTGGTTCGGTTCAATGGTTCTTCACTCCTTGAGTAACTGTCTGCAAGATAATATGGAGATACTACTCCAGTAACAAACAAATGCATAACTTTAATATAAAATTAGAGATTCCACGTGTTAAGTATCCACTGTCCAGTTACATATAGACCTCCATGCCAATAAATTTTGAGGATTGACACAAGGGGCAGAAACTAAGCTTACTTTCACAATCTTTACAAAGGCAGAGGTGTTTGCATGGTAATAAAAGCATGCTAACTTCGTTGACTCTGCATACCTTACAAGTCATCATCTCTTTCATATCATTGTTGTCCTTGGAGAGCAGGTGAAAATCAATGGAACGGCCATTGCAGCATGAAGCAGTATCATCTACCTCGCTATCGCCACATCCTTCTTTGCTATCTCTGCCTTGAGCATATACCTGCTGAAGATTGTACTTGAGAGCAGCAATCATGTTCTCATTGTATCTGGCACGTTTTTGCCAAGCACTTGCTTCAACGGTCAACTGCTCCATTCGCTCTTCAAGTTCCATGTTCCTCTTATTGATGCTTTCAACCTCCGCTTCTTTCTCATTAAGTTTCTGTAGGACTCTGTCTTCAACAATTGACATGCTCTGAAGTTGACTTGCTTGAACCTTCTCCAAAACCGTTTGCCGCAATCGTTCACCCTATCATAAAGGAGATAGTTGAAAATGCTATCTTGATATTATATATAAATCGAGTATTGCACAGCTTGTAGCAGTGGCCAGCCCAAGTTATAACAAGTGGAATGCAGAGGGAGGTATTCGGAGAATGTAGTTGAGAGAAAGGTTGGTTAACAATCTCATGGCGCAGAAGAAAGGATGATCAGGATAACTGATTAGACTTTTTGAAGCATGAAGTCATATATGAGTATGACTTTTATTTGATCCCATCACTTTAATCGGAAGAAGTAAAACTCAGATGAAGTTTTATACCAGAGCACACATTCGTTCTTCCAAGAAAAAATGTAAATTAACTTCATCATTGCCAGCCCACTGGCATTTAGAGATAAGGGAAGAACATGGATCTCCAGCAGCTGATCAAGAAAACTATAATCTTAGGTACGCATGCCACTCAATTTACAGCAACCCATCGTAAGAGCACACTCAACATTTCAGAATCAAAAGATGGGGAGGAGAGGGGGAAGGAGCTATATTTTGATTTTTAAAAAAAAAAAAAGCAAAGGAAAGAAAAGAAAAAAGTCACCGAAGAATGGAGATGCTCACAACTATCTCTTTGCTATGCTTATCATGGTATTGCAGGCTCGTCCAGAGTCCATAAAGTCTCATGGGATTGCAATCCTATCTAATCTAAAATTTGTCATCCATTCCATGAGGTGTCACCTTAGCCCCCTTGGACTGAATAGCACGGACAATTGAGATCATAGATAAGACTGAAATTTCTCGGACCATATGGAATCCAAAACCCATGTAATGACAAAGAAAATTGTGTTAACATTATATTTCTATTACACCAACCCTCCTTCGAATCTGTATTCCTTTGAACATTGGTGACCGTTTTATAAAGTTCACACAGATGCAGTTTGGGTTCTTGCAACCAGAATCAAAGCTAACCCCGAAAACAATCAAAATGCCAATTTTATTCTACTGAGTTAGATCGCTTAATAAAAGTCACAACAGACATACATCATCACCCAACAATAAACGATGTTAAACATGCTTAAACGGCATGGTGTGTTCATACAACAATAAAAATCCAGTTTCAATGAAATATAACGAGTTCTAACCTTAGCAAGTAGCTAAGTAAATTAAACTAGAATGCAGCACTAACCTCCACTCTAAGGTATTTTTGTATTTCTGCGTCCTGCTGCTGCAATTCACGCTCAATATCATCACCGATGAGTGATAGTAAAGCGGAGTCTCCAGTGGAAGCCACGCGGGTATTGTCAAGTGACAAACCCAACCCAGTGGAGACCGATCGAGTTTGGAGGAAATCTATGGAAGATATCTGAGAATTGTTCTCCAGAAAATCCTGTTCTTTTAGTCTTTTCCTCTCGGGCTCTAACCCGTAATTCCATTGCAAGTCAGCTCCACCGTCACTACCGTCAGCAGGAGGAAATGGACCCGGCGCAAAGCCAACAACATGAACTAGAAAAGCGGCAGCACCCAACAATTCAAGGGGTTAGTTTTATATATCAACATAACGTAAAGGAAAGTAGCTACGCCTACCAGCACTAAACTTAAGAAGGCAAGAAAATGCTAAGAAAGAATTTAAACTCAAACTCGACTATTCAGCTATAAAAAGAAGATTTTGGATTCAAGATGGTCAAATGGTGACAAAACCCTAGCTTAGTTCATTTCTTTCATTTTTCACAAGCTGAAATTTTTTCCAGAGTAACAAAGAAACGTATCCTACTGAAATATCCCAATAAACAAGCGAAGCACACAAAAAGAAAATATATGAACAAAAAGGGAAAGGGCCGAAGCTAAAGATGAAGATTTTACGTACAAGGAGGAACATACGGAGGATGCTGGGTCTGATCTTGCAAATCAGGTGGATTATAGAAGGCAACTTGCTGCGACATCTGACCATCTACTGTCCGTAAACCTCTGCAAGTAACGCAACAAGAACCAAGAAAGGGAAAGAAACAATGAGCTAACAGATTGCTAACAAAAAGAAAGGTCGGTAAAATGAAAGGCGGAAAGAAAGAGAATTCCTTGAGATATTAAGAATTTTTCAGATAATAGTGGACAGTATTTGCCTGAATGATTTCGATTGTGGTTGTAGTGGTTGGGTTTGGTAGTGTTGTTGGAGGTGGTGCTGAGGGAAAGCCATGGTTGTCCTGAGAGAAGGAAGGTTCTGTCAAAATAAAATGGTGAGGTGGCCGAAGGAGGAAATTCTGAAATTTCTAGTTGCCCCTCCCATTTCATGATATTTCTGTAGATGTGCACAGAAAATCCAAAGCCCGAATTTGAGAGAACACCGCCCCAAGAATTTGATCCAATAGGCCCACAACCAAAAGGGACGGAAGTGGAGCTGCGGAGAGACAGGCTTTTCGTTTTTGACCAAAACGGAGAGACGGACTTGATATTCCCAATCCGTAGTAAATCTTTGCTCATAATCTTTTAACTTAAAGATCGTTATGATATCTTTAAACAAATAGTTATTAGACCGAGAATCCTGCACTATCAAGTTAGTAGATATGTTCTGTAATGAGCAGCACTGGGCTATTAATGAGGGGAGGTGAGATGAGGTGCATCGGTGAGGCAGTGTGCACCTGCGCCTTTTGCAGCACAATCAAATGTCATTAAATACTATAATAAATAGAAGGCAGTCTTGTCACGTATATGTCTTTTGTGCCATTAATTTTGATTATCTAACAATTCAATGAAGAGTGTACGCAAACGCAGCTATGTCTTGTTTGAAGAATGAAGGGCGAAAATATATATGGAATTCCATTCACACTGACAAGAAAGAAAGAAGATAAAGTGAAAAAGAGGAAGGGGATATGGCTGGTTATTTGACCCTGTTGATTTAGAGGAGAGAGATATGAATAAGGCAGATAATCAGCCTGTTTGGAATGGCGTTTTGCGGGCCCAAAAGGAGGTTTGAGTGGATGATAAGCCCAATTGGCTAATTGAGGGCGTTTGGGACAGCTTTTGGCCCATCCCATTTGAGCTCCAATCGTGCATTTTTTTTTTTTTTTCACCAGGGTATCCATCGGAACGAGCCCAATGACTAATCCCTCGGGTACTGTCGGGCCCAAGATGGGGGCGACCCTCCCAGGCACGCTTGCTCCATTCCCATCCCTCTAGGAATCGAACCTCAAAGGCGATGGTTAAGGGACACAACTCCCAATCGTGCATTTTAATAAGCTGGAAGGGGTAGCTTTTGCACTGTGCTACTGGACCGTTAGAAAATTAATTTCCTGTCAAATGATCATTTTTTATTCCTTCCTCATTTTTTATTCGTCATTTGCCTCTCCTCACTCGTAAGGTCACAGCTTCGCCGCTGGAGAGAAGACATGCCGTGCAGTCAAGAGTCCGTTGCTGTAGCTCCGTCGCGACTCTGCCATTCTCCGTCCATCGGCCGTCACGAGTTGAGCGTTGTGTTCTGTCCGGTGGGCGAAGCTTCTCTGCGTGCTTCGTCGGTCGTCTAAAGGTGTTGAAGGTCAGCTCTGAAGACTCCTCCAACAGCTGTGGTGGCCGACATCTAAGCTTGGGGGTGAGTTGTCCCGTGTATATCTCGCCCAAAGAGTACAAGACAGAGCCCGATCTACCTTCCTCAGCCTCCGTAGTTTCGGATTCGGTACACATTGTTGAGCATCTCTGTTCTTTTCTTCTTCTCTTTTCGTCTGCGTTTCTCTTGTTGCATGTGATGGCCGACCTATTGAATTGTTGTGGAGTTGGGCTGCTGTGAATGTTGCAAATTCATCCGAGCTGTGTTTTGTCTGGTTAAGCTAGGTACTCACGGTTTTCGGTTCCTTCATCCGAGCTTCTGTAGAATTAAAGAAACAACCATGATAATGTTAATTCGATTGCATGTAATCTGTTCAAGTATGGATTTTGTGCAACAATGGCCATTCATAACCTTATAAGGAGGCATTCAGGCTCCAACTTATTTTTTGAACAAGTTGAAAATGGTAATATAGTTGGCGAACATGATGAGACTGAAACTAGTTAACCATCGTCTTCAAATGTTACATCACAGTCTTCATCGCATATGAATCGTGTTCGTGATGCAATCAGAGACCAAATTATCCATAGCTTATCAATTAATTAATTATGTAATATTTCGTTTCACTTTGTCACAATACTGCAAATTGGAGTTCATAACTGTTTTATCCATTTAAATTATGTTTCGCTTTATATTTGCACTATTTTTTTCATTTCTCTGATATTTTCAAATTTAATTCACTCAATCAATTTCACTTCCTCATATTAAATTAATTTAAATTCATTGTGTTATGTCAATTCATATTTTTATCATGTTTCAAGGGTTGTCTTGTAAATTATTTCTTATGATTTCTCTAAAGTTTTCAATTTTAATTGACTCTATATATTTCACTTCTTCATTATATTATCTCAATTCATTTTTTTTCGTCTTTCACTTTATATATCAAATATATTTTTTTGAGTTTTCTAAAAATTTTATAATTTAATTCACTCATTTAATTTGATTTCTTCATATTAAATTATCTTAATTTCATTATATTATGTGAAATTATTTTTTTTAATCATGTTTCATTATTTATTAAGTTCACACCCATTTTGGTCATTTTACAACCAAACTTACTTTTACTCAACCATAATCCAAACAACATTTTTCCAATATCACTTTTGCAAACTAACTTTTCTGAACTCTAATCCAAACACAATTCAGCTTATCCAATTTAACTTTTACCAATCTTCACTTCTCCATAAGCTACTTTTTCAATCGCTCGTCCAAACAGACCCAATAAGTTTGCCTCTTTTTTTTTGTCCTTTTGTGTTTAATGTTGTGACAGGGTTGAACAAAGGAGAATAGAATATTTGGAGCTTAATCACCAAAAGAGATGCCCTTTGGACCCGGGTCCTCAGAAGCAAATATAGATGCGGGAATGATGAAGTCCCCGGAGTCTATTACAAGAGAGTAGCCTCGATTACCTGGAGGTCCATAGTTAAGGTGTGGGAGAAGTTTATTCAAGGCGTGGGGAAGAAAATTAACAGTGGAAGAAATACTGACTTTTGGTGGGATTTGTGGACCCCTTTGGACCGTCCCCTCATAGCATATACAAATGGATGTTCGGGGCTGGATATCAGAGCAAAAGTCAAGGACTTCACCCTCGAAAATGACACCTGGGCGGTGCATAAGTGGCAGGGAGTATTACCAGCCAGCATCATATCGATCCTCCTGCGTATTAAACCACCCTCAGATAATTCCAAGGATGTGTTCATATGGAGACCTGCTACGGATGGGAACTTTTCTGTCAAGTCAGCGTATGGATTTATAAGTCAGAGACAGGTGTCGTCGAGGGATCGTTGGTGGTCTAAACTCTGGAAGTGCCGTGTATCAGAAAGAGTAAAATTCTTCTTATGGCAAGTTTCTCATGAGAGAATAGCCACTAACCAATTCAGAGCTCAAAGAGGGATCTCAAGCACATCAATTTGTCCTTTTAATTGCCAAAGTGAGGAGAGCGTTATACATGTTTTGAGGGACTGTGAGAGAGCGAAAAACTTCTGGCTATCTTTAATTCAACCTAACTTTGTTACTAGATTTTATGCTCTTAATTTGCAGGAATGGCTTTCTTGGAATGCTACACAAAGTCCAGCTAACGCGAAATTTTCAAAGTGGGATTGGCTTCAAGTGTTCATGCTTGGATGCTGGTTCCTCTGGACTTCCAGGTGCGCGTATGTATTCGATGGCAAAACAAAGAACACCAGGGAACTGATCCAGAGGTGCACATACCACTTGATGGAAGGCGTGACAAATCAGCAACTTAAACATGACATTTTCAATGTATCCTCTAAATCGGAAACCAAGTGGACCCCACCTCCAAGAGACGCCATTAGAGTAGATGTGGATGGCTCTGTACGGGAATATCAGGCGGCTGCTTGTGGGGGAGTGATTAGAGATCACGAAGGGAGTTGGCTCATGGGATTTCAACGTAGCCTGGGTTGCTGCTCTGTTACGGAAGCCGAATTAATGGCTATTCAGACGGGCTTAAGAACATGTCAGCAGATGGGATTCTCCAGGATTATGCTTTACACGGACTCACTAGAAGCTTTCAATCTGCTGATGCGAAACCATGCTGAAGAACATCCTTTGAGAAACCTCATCATAGATACCCGAGAGCTGATCTATGGGAATTGGTCCGTAGAAATGCACCATACTGGTAGAGAAATTATTAAGTGTGCTGATTTTCTAGCTAGGACAGGACACCATGACTCTTTTGATACGATATTATTACAAGATGTGCCGGCGGGATGCGCGGGGATAGTGTCTGATGACCAGCTTAGTGTCGAAGCTTGGAGCTAGTTGCTCCGTCTTCGGGGGTTTTCTTTCGGGTCTTGTTTTCCTTTTAGTTTCCGATATTTTGTGTTTCAAGCCTCGGCTTGTCTCTTTTCTCCAAAAAAAAAAAGGAGAATAGAATAGAATAGTTATGAAGCAGAAGTGGAGAAACAAAGAATGTTGTTTGTGGGGGAAAAAATCTGTGTTGCGCAAACAGGTGATGCTGGGCATTACATTATTTGTGGCCCGCCCCTCATGGTGAGGCTTGGCCTTCGTTTTTACTGATAGATCATGTTGATGCCCGTCACCCACTTACTTTCCTATAAACGTTTACTTGATGCTTTCTGTTGAGCACAAAGATGATCCCGATGGTAATTCTGGGGGAACGGGGTTAAAGTCAATCTCAAAGAAGTGAAAAACTCAGTACACGATTCATATGATTCCGTATTTCATTATCCCTTTTTTTTTTGGTTAATTACTACAATATAATAGCAGAAGTCTTCTTTCCGTTCAAACAATCAAACCTATTTTTCTCCAGAGTTCAGACCGGTAAGGATATGCATCAATGAAATATTAAAAATTGGCCACAATGTCCTTGCGAAGGACCTCATTTTTGTCAAACCAAGCAGTACATAAGGCTGCAACTATCAATTTCGTGTAGAAGAATCGCATTAGTTAGACATCAACGTAGTCTGAAAATCAAGTAAAGAGCCATTGGATGATATTTTAGCCTTTGAAAAGCATCAACTTGCAGACTTGAAGCAGAAGCCAACCATATAATAATTCTTGCGTAATCACGTTGAATAAAGAATACTTGATTAATTAATAATCACCCGCACTTTTGTTCCTCCCATGGCCATTGGCTCCACTTTTGCCTTCACACCTACCGCTCCCTTTCCACTTCTCTCTGATTCTAACTCTGGCAGAATGATGACGCCCAGATACCGCGGTGGAAAACAGAATACTCTGCATTAGGGGACTAGGAATTTTTGAAAATATCATAAAGGACTGAGAACCATGGAGGAAAACAAAATACAATGAAGATTGTGTTTTCAATAAATTTCAGGTCCTTGAGTATACCATTGTCCTATTTATAAGGCATTTTTATTATATTTCATATAGATTAAGAAAAACTTTAAAATGCATTAGTTCTCCATTAAAATATAATAATTTTCCTAATTTACCCATATTTAATATATACAATTTAAAAATAATAATTATTTACACCATAATAAATGAAAGGAAAAATAATATATTCACACTAAAAATTTAATAAAGTGATTTATGAATAAAAAAATATTCTCTCTCTAATCTATAAATAAGAGCAGAGGACTATTGGGATGTTATTCTCCAGCTAACTTCTCTCTCTTTCTATCTCTCTCTATATACATATACTCTTCCGGTCCTAAATATAAGACTCTTATACTAGTGTGTATAAGGGTCTTATATTTAGGACCAGAAGAGTATATAGTCAACTAACACCGCCCGTAAAATGGTGACCCTCTGCCTTTGTTTTAAGACTGCTTCTTCTCCACACATGGAACTCACATCATATCGGATCATCTGGTGCCGGTGAGGAATATAAATAAATTGATAATATATGGCGGGCAACTTAATGTTGACATACTAACGCATTTATTATTAAATTTGGGAAATTATTAATTTTTAATAAAAACCGCCATCGTTCGAGATTAGGGCATTATAACGACCCATTTTCGGGAGAACAAGTCATGCCGACAACTGATAAACTCGGCGCAAGCTCTGGAGTCTGGAGTGTGATCTGGCTTTTGAGTAATCTTTATTATGACGGAGCAATATTTTATAGGCAAACGGTAAAATTATAAGTTCCTCTATTGCAAAAAAAATATCCGCCCTCCCGTGAGTTCCTCTCATAGCCCTCGTTCGGAACTAATTTGCCCTCTTTGGTAGCTACCACTTCAAAATTCCCTAGTGATTTCAAATTTTAAAGGGCCACGTCATGTGAAATTTGCAACACGTTTCGAAAGGATTATCATCCCACAAGCATCAAATTTCGCACATGAATTATATACTTTCTCAGTTTCATATTAAGATCGTCACGGTAATATGAGTACTGTTTTTCATATTTCACAATACAAGAATGCATTGAATTTTTCACTTCCCGTTTTGCTCCTAGTTAATGTTTCACGTTTCATAATATGAAACTGACGGAGCATATATTCAGTATTCACACATCAATGCTACGAGACTTCATCAAGGGCTATTATTGGAATGAATCTTCATGGATCTGTGAGACAGTGTTAGTACGTTGCTCGGTTGTCAAGCACGTGAGCTAGAATAATGGATTCCCGATGAAAGACAAATGAACACAACAACATTCATTCTGGTGAATCGCGACAGAACAATGCCTCCCAACGTTGCTTATTCAAATGAAATAACCAAACCATAATTATGAATCTGCACCAGTTGGGAGGTTGCATTTGTTTTTCGAGCCATCATTTGCGTAGGCATCCGGGAGATTGAACTTGCTGCATCCGATTCTATTAGCCTATAATTACTCCATCAATAAACGCAAGTGCTCCAATAGGAGGATCTGGGATTGAGTAAATTATTTGACTTTCACCTTTAAATATAATTGTAAGAAATTGGAGAATAATGCTCAAGCATTAACAAAAAAGGGTTTAAAAAATGACATACATAAAGGAAAACCATAATTAACAGATCACTCACAAGTATGTCTACACCTAGCCATTCAAGACAGCCTGTTATCATCTTCTCCACTATGCAATATAGAACTTTGGCAGCGAAAATGCTCAGAAACGCGTTCAAATTTCTTCGTGTCCTGCCCAGAAGCCTTTTACAGCTGTACCCCCCGCTCTTTCCTCATCTTAAAGAACCAATGAAATGAATACACGTATCACATTTTCTTTATCTTTTTCTTTTTCCCCGCTTCTGGGTTTCTTCTCGCTGTGGAATTCCCGATCAATCGTATGTGCACGATTTCTTCAGAGAAATCGTGGCGTTGATGTGTTTAGGATTCAGATTTATAGAACAGTCGATCCTCTTGTTAAATTTCGGCTTCACCAACTTGCCAAGAACGTAAGCTCTGGATCGAAGCTCAAAACTTAACTTCAATTGTACTGGAACTGAAGGCGCACCGGTTGAACTACTCAGGCCCGCGCCGCTCCCGTACAGAGCAATCTTGTTACCCACCACTGCCACCCTCACTGCTCTTTGACTATTTCTTGATTGATGAAACTTCTTCATCTGTAATCCCCAAGTTTATTTGTATGTATATTCAAAAAGAGATTAGACTTTTTCGAAAGTTTTGAGCTAATGAATTTCAGTATGAACTTAAAAAATAAGTTTTGAGCTAGGATGATGGGTTTCGAAGCTTACTTCTCCGGAACCAATTACGATTTCCGAATAGAGCAGATCCAGAGGTGTTGCGGAAACATGGACCCCAAAAAATGTGCCAGTGTTGCGATATGTGAACTTCACGGTGGAATTCAGGGATATCATATCGGTGGCCACTCCTGTGGAATCCGAACCAGCCTGAACCGTGATATGATCAAACTTTATGCTCTACAAGATGGGAATGCGAATCGATCAAGACCAAATCGGGAATTGATTCAACTATTCGATATTTCTGAAAATTAAGGACCGGAATGCAAACCTTTATGGCAATTTTGGGCTTCATCGGCTTACTGGCGCCCCAGAGAATTAGAGAGAAGACAGTGAAAAGAAGAATGAAGCCAACAACAAAAGCCAGGACATAGCAGCGACGAGGGAGAGGCTTGTGGCGGTCTTCATTGGGAAGAAGACCCTCTTCCTCGATGACATCAGGTTGCTTCCATGACTTCTGAGACTTGCCATGGGGAGCACGAGAAGCATCGTTGGGAGATATTTTGCGAGATCCAGAGAACCTGCTAGAGGAAGACTCGCGAGAGTGGTGACCCAGTGAGGCGTGGGAATGAGGGGGAGACCCCATGGGGCTGAGCGCAGGGGTGGAGTGAAACGAGGTCGCCGTCTTCTCTCCATCGTGGGAATCCCGAGAAGGGCTCTGCACGTAGTACACCGGCCGCCGAGGAGACCTAGTGGGTGACGAAGCGGCGAGGCTGGTCACTTCAGAATCCGTCTTGGCGTGCATTCTGTGATCTCTCCAAACTCCAGCTCACAAGAAGTTTCTCTCTTGCGCTTCTTCTTCAGATCATTAGCAGAATGTAGAATAATGGAGTCTGATATACTGTGAGCTGGCCTTTTACGAAGGGGGCGGTTTGACAGGAAAATTAAGAAAATGCATTAGTGGGTAATCCGATTGTTAAAACATTTTTATACGTTACTAAACCACCGGCAGCAGATATTAATATAGTAACTCAAAAAGAACAGTAACCGCATCACATGGGGCTTTTTTTTTTTTTTTTGGACTCACATCACATGGGGCTGAGGCCAAAGACAAAAGCGCAGATGTGCAATGAATAAAACCCTAATCTAATCATTGACCCGACACCCACATTCCAGTTGTCACTTAACGCGAATCTCCCAACGATGACCCGTTGTGTGATGATATCACAGCCTTGCTGCTCACCACCATTTGTTTTCTCCCCCCCTGCCAGCAGCCTTGCTGCTTTCCTGCATCTAAATAATTCCTTCTAAATTTTGACCAAAAATAATAATAATAATAATTCCTTCTAAATTGACATTTTGTTTTTTTTAGCTGGGTTGGCAAAACTATACAATCTTCTAATAAATTTGTGGCCAAAATAACAATTATTATGCTATATCAACAACCGCCATATATTGTCCCACTCATTGACATTACAAAATGTCGGTTGTAGCTTTCTTTATCCAAAAATTTCAAAAAAATATATATTTAGTTTTTGTACGTTTTGAAATATGACGCTGATGTTTTTTAAGCAAAATTACACCGCGTTTGCTCAGGTTAATATTTTTAGTATTAAAATTTAACAATCATTTTCTTATGATAAAAAGTTAATTATTTGCCTTTTAAATATTTGAATTTGTATCTTTAAAAATAAAAAATAAGACTACCAGTCTGATCTTTTTATTTGTAACATGTTGTCGCATAACAATGAATGTAGTAAATTAACAAAATTTTTCAGCACTTTGAATATTAAAAAAACACATAGATTAAAGCGCTACGCAAACAAACTGTAAGGCCACCTATGCTAGTCTTGCATCAGTTGCAAGGACAAGATTTTAATTCACAAAAAACTGAAAAAGTGTGTCGGTGGCCTTATGATCCACATTGGCGTTAGGAAAGGGGAGAAAATCTTAGATTTAACAAATTTTGACTTAAAATAAACGTATCAACAAAATAGGGTATGATTATCGTGCAAATATAATAGTATCTCCGATTTTAATCTTATTTATAATTTATAAACAAAAACTAATAATTAGAACGGAGGTAATAATATGATAATAACCAGAGACGGTTGTGGAGGGTTTCTAAGTTTTTGTGATTTTGGCCAAAATTGCAGCTTTTCGGAGAGATGTGTTCCGGAGGATTTCATCATCCGGTGAAGCTGGACCCAATCGCATTCCGGTCAAGTGTTTCGGATCGGCAATCATTTTCTGCTCTTCCTCCCCTTGACAGAGGAAATGAGGTGATTCCTAGCTCTGCATCCAACCAAGTATAAAAAAGATAATATTTAAGACGCAGGAGAAAGAAAATAAGAGTTTCCTCATTCCCGAGTGGTGTTTGGTGTGATTAAAATAAACAGTGCTAAAAGGATCACAGATGCACATAACAACAATAATTCTGGGCAAGTTTGGCTTTTCAAAATGGATTCCATGCTCCACTACTGCACCCTGCTTTTTTTTACTAAAGGGGAAATATATTGAAAACAAATATTTACAGGGAGGGAGCACAACCAGACTAGGCAATAGGCAGTAAAGTACTGTACCCTCCTTGTCATAATGGAATCATTTCGTGCCAAATTTTTTCCATTTGAATCATGAAGAAACTGACTTCCTCGGTACCAAACCATCCTGTCTTTCATTTTCCCCCTCTTCTTTTCTTTCCACTCCTCTCTTAACAAAATCTCCATAAACGCACTGCACAACGATCTCATTCTCATTAACTCATACAGTAGTGCCTAATTAACTGGACCAGTATGAAACAACACAAGTAAGGACGTTCCTTTCTTTCTTTCTTTTTTTCCTATCTGAAAGTAAGTACCTTGTTTTTCTAAGATCATATTTATTACTGTTCGGTTTTTAATATAAAAACTAGTTTAACTTTTAATTTTATTTTAAATATAAAATCTCAATCAGCTTTATGTTTATATTCATTTATTTTTTTCAAAGTAATCATTATAGTGGTTGCACGTGTTAATTGTTCTATCAAATGATAGCTTTAGGTAATAAACATAATTAACGGGAATATTTTTAAAAAGATAACACATCTTTATTACCAAACCACCCTGTCTTTCACTTTTCTCCTCTTCTTTTCTTTCCATTCCTCTGTAAGGAAGTGTTTGGCAACCTCCAAACTATAGTTTTAAAAGTATTTTTTCGCAAAATAAAATAAATTTTTCCACATGTTTATTTTGTAAACCATCAAAACACTTCTAAAATCATGATTTGGTTTTTATCCAAACACGCCCTTAAAAACTCCATAAACGCACTGCACCACGATCTCATTCTCATTAACTCATACAGTAATGCCTAATCAACTGGACCGGTATGAAACAGCATAAGTAAGGACGTCCCCTTCCTTTTTTTCTATCTGAAAGTAACTGCCTTGTTCTTCTAAGATCATATTTACTACTTCTCGGTCTTTAATATAAATATTAGTTTAACTTTTAATTTAATTTTAAATATAAGATCCAATCAATTTTATCTTTATATTCATCTATTTTTTTCAAAATAATCATTGTAGTAGTTGCACGTGTTAAATGTTCCATCAAATGATAGCTTTAGCTAATAAACATAATTAACAAGAATATTTTAAAAAAACACATATTTATTACAAATAACTAATTTAGCTAATTTTTTTAATCTTTCTAAATTAGTCAACTGGGTCTTTTATTAAGAATTGAATGTAGTATTACATTTAAAATGACTTATAAGCGTGTTTCATAAATCATAATTAAAAGACTACTTATAAATTATTTTAAACGGGCCTAATTTGTTTGAGAACAAAAAGGAGAAGTGGAGAAAGGGGTCAAACTAATTAAGGTTGGTATAGAGCATACAACTTACCGTAATTCTTTTTGTTTTCAATATAAAATCTTATTAACTCATTTGTAAAATTCAAAAAAGTAAATACATACTTATTTAGACAGAAAAAAGTAAATTATCAATGTCCCATAGTGGGACCGATCAGGAGCGGGGGTGGACCAACAGGCAACGGCATCTAAAACCAAAAAAAGAGTAACAATGTGGCCCACAGAATACGAAGTGAATGAATGAATCAATGTGGCCATGCTTTAACGGAAAATACATGGACTGGATACCCTTCTTTCTACACATGGATCAATGAGGTTCAAGTCCTGGTCCCTTCTCCTGTCTCTTTTCTTATCATTCAATTGTCCCTTTGTGCCTAATAATTATTTAATTCACTCACGCATGCCCTTCTGATAACATCAATATTGCAGAACTCTATCCAGTGCTACATGCTATATAAATTCTAATTAACCATGTCCTCTAAATAAGATCGACGATATAATGATCATTAATGTTGAAGCGAATGCATATAATTTTGACTTGAGTAATAAGAGGGGCATTTTTAGTTAGCTCTACCTAGCTACTTCGACAGGTGTGGTCACTACAATCGGACTTCGAACGACGTGTTTCAGATCCGTCCAAACAAGATGCCCAAAATATACATCCTCGTCGATCATTTCTGGTCCTTCTATTCTCAACTTGTAGCTTTGCTTCTCGTTCTTCTCCTTGAACACCAGCTTATCCGGGATGACGTAGACCTGAAACCCTTTCACGGGCGTAATGCTTGCCTTGTACGTTGTTTGCCCCTCTCCAACATTGGTCACTGTTCTCTTAAATTCTCTCGCTGTTTTGGACCCATCACGGGTAGAAGACGATGTGACCCCACCGTCAAAGAAAGCAATGAATGAGGGATAATTAAGGTCCAAGGAAGGTTTGGAGCAATTGCTGGAAGAGGATCTAGTAATAATGGAAATGTTCTTTTGGGTGAAGTTCAGTGCACAAAGAAGATTCACGTAGTCTTCAATTCCTGCATCGTAAACAAGCCCAGGGTCGAGGGCTCTATTAGGGTTAATATGACCAGTTCCCAAGGCCAGAGGAGAAGCTGATCTGTAATCATCGCCAATGTCTTTGATGAGTCCGAGGGTGTTGTCCAGCATGTCGGATGTTGTCATTATGGCAGACCGAATGGCGGCGGGACTCCAATCGGGGTGTGCTTCCTTTAAAAGAGCGGCTACTCCGGCGACGTGAGGACAAGACATGGATGTCCCAGATAGCAAATTGAAGTTACTGAATAAGTTCTGGGACTCCAACTCTGCTGCCGGAACTTTTTGGGGCCATGCAGCCAAGATTAACGTTCCAGGAGCCATAACATCAGGCTTTAACACGAATGGGCAGCTTTGTGAAGGTCCTCTGGAACTATAACTATCCACACTTGGGGCTGGTTTGGTCCCCAAGACCGTCATATTGAAAGCCATGCTTGCCCTTGGATTTGAGTTCTTCATTATATAATCTTTGATCATCTCTCCTCTCTCTGGATTTATAAAGATGGACGGGAACTTGGTCTGAAAATAAAATGTGATGTCAGGGCTATTTGTTATGAACACGCCCCCCAAAACTTTTGCTCTGTCAAGGTTATCCACTTGATCACCAAGGGTTCCGTTCTTCTCTTCACACACCACAGCCTTTCTCCTGACTCGAATCAATTTCTTCAAGTTGTCACACTTGCCCATGAAGACCAACGGAAAGTTCTGGCTTGGGGAGAAGTTTCCAGGATAGAGAGACAAGCCATGGAGTTGAACTCCATGATTACTGCAGAGTGTTAGGGTCCCGTGAAATTCACGGTCCAAGGTGCCAGCAGCTACAGTTATAGCCCACGGTGTTCCGTTGTGCAAAGTTTCAAGAGATGGCCCGTGGTTCCCTGCTGACGTGGACACAAAAATGCCTTTCTCTATGGCTGCAAAAGTTGCTATAGCAATAGGGTCTTCGTACAAAGCAACCCCATCAAACCCCAACGACAGTGAAATAACATCCACACCATCTGTTATAGCACTGTCAATTGCAGCTATTACATCAGATGCGTAGGCCCCAGATTCCCAAAGAGCCTTGTACATAGCCACATGAGCCTTTGGAGCCATGCCCATTGCTGCTCCAGAGGCGTACCCGAAGTAAGATGCACCTTCAACATGACTTCCTGCTGCGGTGGTTGACGTGTGTGTCCCGTGACCGTCCATGTCACGGGTGGAATTCACCGCTATGGTGACGTTTCGGTTCTCGGCCAGCAATCCTTTGTTGAAGAATCGAGCTCCGATGAGTTTCTTGTTGCACAGTGATGAATTGAATTGGGTACCACTTTCACACCGTCCTTTCCATCGAGAAGGGATCTCAGACATCCCTTGGTCTCGAAAGCTTTCGCTTTCTGGCCAAATGCCAGTGTCAACCAATCCAATGATAATGTCCCTGCCATAGTTTGAGGCCGGCCATGCTCCTACTTTGGGATTGAGACCAAGGAATTGGGACGAGTGGGTTGTGTCGGGTTTGACAGGCAAATCACGGAATGATGAAATATAGCCAGGGGAGGTCTTAAGAGCTTCAAGCTCGGAATGGGTTATGTGTGCACTGAAACCATTCATGACGTTGGTGTAGCTATAGATGAGTTTCGAAGAGGAAGAGGTAAAATTAGTGGAAACTTGAGGGCTGTTCAGTGCGGAGGCAAGGGTGGACAGGTACCAGGTGTGTTGAGTGGAGAAGGGTTTAGGCATGGCTGATACGTCCATGTGGATGATGTAGTTGTCAGACCGATCAGCCAACATGAAGATGGGGCGCAGGATTGCAATGGAGGATACCCACAGCCATACACAAATATGAGAAGTCATTGCTGATAGCAGTTTGAATTCGGATGGCTGTTTTACGACACGAAACTAACTCAAGAGACTTATATAGAGGAGCAAGGGGTATGGTTAGCCCCGAGAGATTCCCCACTTTGTCACCACGTATGTTCCAAGTTGTGCTGATGGTATCTTACTGGCGGACCACGGATGTCTTATCAACAAGCCATGCCCATGTGTCCTGTGGACCTTTTTTCCCCTTTTTCTTCTCAAGAGTCAACTTTTTTACTTTATCTTTTTAGGATAATGTGAGTACATATTTGCATTCAGAACTTAATTAACTTTAATTAGGGGTGATTAATTCATGTGTTTGGTGCTATTTTGCGCATTAAGCAACATGGCTGGCAGCAAACGCCTTATTAGTCAAACGTCGTGCACCGGAGCAGTGCTCAAGCATTGAAACGGAGTTGAATTATTCGAAATAAAGTGATGAGGAAAGAGCTGCGGAGGATGGAGCACAATAAGGGCGGGGACAAGGGACAATCAGAGTATAATCTTCAAGAGTGAATGGGGAATAATAATACTCAAAAGTGTTAGGCATGTTATGTGAAGAAACAAGAAAGACTGAATAATGGTGGCACGAGGAATCATCCCGTGCGCCCACAATCGCATATACACAAGGGTCCTGATGAAAGGTAAGTCCGACTGTGTATGTGTGTGGCGTAAATAAGGGGCTAATTAGATATAATATGATAATACATGTCGGTGAATGCGTGGAGGTAAAAGGCGAGAAGCGATTAGAAATCAGTGACCTGCGTCGATGTTGATTCGTTGACAATGAGGGTTGGGGGCGGGGGGGGGGGGGGGGCACCGCCCTTGGTGGCCAGGCCACACGCGGCGTATTGGGCTATCATGCCATTGTGGTTCCACGCATGCTTCGGGATTGAACTTGCCATGCTCTTCCTTCCCACTCTCACTCTGATGAAGTGAAGAAAATAATCAATCCCAGCACATACATAAGTGGCCAAATTACATAGCCAGCGGATTCAGACTTCTCACCCACTTTTGCAATATCAGTCGTATTGTACAAGTCTATTCACATGTGTAGACTTTCTACGCACTGAGACAAACTTCAGTTTTGGCAACACACTGCAGCAACAAGCTACGAATTACGACTTGTCACCCTTTGCCTCGGCAATTGGCGTGAAGATCTTTCGTAATTTTAGACTTGTAATATATATAACACCGCTTCTTAATATAGGACTATTGATTAACTAATTTAAAGATATTAAGAAAGTTAATTATATTTAGTTATTTGTAATAAATAGATATTGTCTTTCTTTAAAATGTCTTTATTTTGAATTACAAATTGATAATAACTTCTTAACATATGCAACTACTATAGAGATTATTTAAGGATAAAATGAATAAATATTAAAGACAATAATTTTGTGTCTTATATTTAGGATTAAATTGAAAATCAAATTAACTCTTATATTAAGGATCGAGATAACATGTTTATTTCCTTGTTATTGAGACCTCATATAATTTCTGCACAGTTCCTGTCGTAGCGTATGTGGGCCTCTATATCAGGATTTATTTTCCGCCCGTGAGAAGATAAAAAGCCATGATAATTATATTATAATCAATCTGATAACGTTTGGACCAAGCAGGTGGGGCTCAGTTCCGATCATCATGATACAAAGTGATTTACAGTAATATTTTCACGAGGTTCTGTTTTCCTCCCTCCCCGTTCCAAGGCCTCACTGCTCATACAAAAAAAACATGGCGATGTCTCAAACAGGACATCGTGCTCCCTCCTCCCCACAAACAATGATTTAATTCTCCCTATTATTTACTGTTAATATAAGGCACCTGTAATGGGAATCAGCACATTGCTTTGTTCCAGAAGCACCCATTTCTTCAAAACATATTCCCCCATTTCTTTGTGATTATATTTTGCGTGTTTAAGATAACTGGTCCAAATTTCAGATGCAGACAAGCACCGGATGAAAAGTAAGCATCTTCAGCGAAAACCATGCCACTATGCACGCTCGTTAAATTGCTGAGTAATAAACTTCCATGTTAGATAATAAGCACACAGAGGTGCCTACACCACTTGATGGAGTTCACCTCAAACCAGAAGATGAAGCATAGAATCTTTCATCTTGAACAGGCAGAGGAAGAATACTGGACACTGCCACCACCAATGTGATGCGAGTAGACGTTGATGGCTCAGTATGGACAAATGCTCAGGCGGCTTGTGGAGGTACTGTTAGGACAATGTAAGAGAATGAGTAATGGGCTTCACACGCTCCATTGGAGTGGGCTTGTGATCGAGGCAGAATTAGTAGCAATTAAAACGGGCTTGGAAGTTGGAAGATACAACTTTACTAGACTCAGGCTCTGTTGGAAGAGCGTTTGGTGGGCCAAAAGTAGTTTTAAAATGAAAATAAGCCCATTATCTTTGGATGGGTGTTTGGATCAGCGTTTGGGGCCATCCCACT